CCACTGCAGGACCTTAATGTGCTTCTTCTTGAGCCACTCCTTTGTTGCCTTGGCTGTGTGTTTTGGGTCATTGTCATGCTGGAACACCCATCCATGATCCATTTTCAATGCCCTGGAAGAAGGTTCTCACCCAAGATTTGAGGGTACATTGCCCCGTCCATCGTCCCTTTGATGCGGTGCAGTTGTCCTGTCCCCTTAGCAGAAAAACACCCCCAAAGCTGAATGTTTCCACCACCATGTTTCACAGTCGGGATGGTGTTCTTGGGGTCATAGGCAGCATTCCACCTCCAAACACGGAGAGTTGAGTTGATGCCAAAGAGCTGGATTTTGGTCTCATCTGACCAAAACAAATTTCAACCAGTCCTCCTCTGCATTTCATTCAGATGTTCAGTGGCAAACTTCAGAAGGGCCTGGATATGTGCTTTCTTGAGCAGAGGGACCTTGTGGGCACTGCAGGATTTCAATCCTTGTCAGTGTAGTGTGTTACCAATTGTTTTCTTGGTGACTGTGGTCCCAGCTGCCTGGAGATCATTGACAAGATCCTCATGTGTAGTTCTGGGATGATTCCTCACTGTTCTCATGATCATTGACACTCCACGAGGTGAGATCTTGTATGGTTCACCAGACCTAGGGAGACTGACACTTGTTTTGTGTTTCTTCCATTTGTGAATGATTGCACCAACTGTTGTCACCTTCTCACCAAGCTGCTTGGCCATAGTTTGGTAGCCCAGTCCAGCCTTGTGTAGGTCTACAATCTTGTCCCTGACATCCTTGCACAGCTCTTTGGTCTTTGCCATGGTGGAGAGTTTGGAATCTGATTATTTGATTGCTCCTGTGGACAGGTGTCTTTTATACAGGTAACAAAATGAGATTAGCAGCACTCCCTTTAAGAGATTGCTTCTAATCTCAGCTTGTTACCTGTATGAAAGACACGTGGTAGCCAGAAATCCTGGTGAATGATAGGGGATCAAATACTTATTTCCCTCATGAACATGCAGATCAGTCATCATTTATTAGACATGCATTTCTGCTGAATTTTTTGTTGCTATTCTGTCTCTCAGTGTTACAATACACCGAACATTCGATATTTTAGACCGATCATTTCTTTGTGAGTGGGCAAACATTCAAAATCAACAGGGGAGCAAACACGCATTTCCTTCACTGTATATACCTACACACACACACACAGTTAGGTCCATATATATTTTGACATGGCACAATTTATATACTTTTGGCTCTGTAAGCCACCAGAGTAAATTAAAACGAAACAATCCAAATGAACCTGAAGTGCAGACTTTCAGCTTTAATTCAAGAGGTTGAACATAAATATCAAGTATAAAAATTGTAGGAACTGCAACCATTTTTTTACACAGTCCCTCCATTTTCAAGAGCTCAAGTGTAATTGGACAACATGAATATAATCATAAATAAAATGTTCATTTGTAATATTTTGTTGAGAATCCTTTACTGGCAATAACTGTCTGAAGTCTGTAACCCATGGGCATGACCAAAGACTGGGTTTCCTCCTTTCTGATGCTTTGCCTGAAGTCTGCAACCCATGGATGTGACCAAAGACTGGGTTTCTTCCTTTCTGATGCTTTGTCTGAAGTCTAGAACCAATAGGCGTGACCAAAGACTGGGTTTCCTCCTTTCTGATGCTTTGCCTGAAGTCTGGAACCCATGGACGTGACCAAAGACTGTGTTTCCTCCTTTCTGAAGCTTTGCCTGAAGTCTGGAACCCATGGACGTGACCAAAGACTGTGTTTCCTCCTTTCTGATGCTTTGCCTGAAGTCTGGAACCCATGGACGTGACCAAAGACTGTGTTTCCTCCTTTCTGATGCTTTGCCTGAAGTCTGGAACCCATGGACGTGACCAAAGACTGTGTTTCCTCCTTTCTGATGCTTTGCCTGAAGTCTGGAACCCATGGAAGTGACCAAAGACTGTGTTTCCTCCTTTCTGAAGCTTTGCCTGAAGTCTGGAACCCATGGACGTGACCAAAGACTGTGTTTCCTCCTTTCTGAAGCTTTGACTGAAGTCTGGAACCCATGGAAGTGACCAAAGACTGTGTTTCCTCCTTTCTGATGCTTTGCCTGAAGTCTGGAACCCATGGACGTGACCAAAGACTGTGTTTCCTCCTTTCTGATGCTTTGCCTGAAGTCTGGAACCAATGGACGTGAACAAAGACTGGGTTTCCTCCTTTCTGATGCTTTGCCTGAAGTCTGGAACCCAATGGACGTGACCAAAGACTGTGTTTCCTCCTTTCTGATGCTTTGCCTGAAGTCTGGAACCCATGGACGTAACCAAAGACTGTGTTTCCTCCTTTCTGATGCTTTGCCTGAAGTCTGGAACCCATGGACGTAACCAAAGACTGTGTTTCCTCCTTTCTGATGCTTTGCCTGAAGTCTGGAACCCATGGACGTAACCAAAGACTGTGTTTCCTCCTTTCTGATGCTTTGCCTGAAGTCTGGAACCCATGGACGTAACCAAAGACTGTGTTTCCTCCTTTCTGATGCTTTTCCTGAAGTCTGGAACCCATGGGCATGACAAAAGACTGGGTTTCCTCCTTTCTGATGCTTTGCCTGAAGTCTGGAACCATGGACATGACCAAAGACTGGGTTTCCTCCTTTCTGTTGCTTTGTCAGGCTCTAACTGCAGCTGTCTTCAGTTGTTCTTTGTGGGTCTTTCTGCCTTTAGTTTTGCCTTCAGCAAGTGAAATGCATGCTCAGTTGGGTTGAGATCAGGTGATGGACTCAGCCATTGCAGAATATTCCACTTCTTTTCCTTCAAACGCTCCTGGGTTGCTTTTGCAGTGTGTTTTGGATAATTGTCCATGTGTACTGTGAAGCACCGTCCAATCACCTTTGCTGCGTTTGGCTGACAGTAGATCTGTAAACACGGCAGAATTAATCTGCTTCTCTGTCACATGATCAATAACCACCAATGACCCGGTGCCATGCATGCCCATGCCATCACTCTGCTTCCACCATGTTTTACAGATGACGTTGTGTGCTTTGGATCATGAGCTGTTCCAAGCCTTCTCCACACTTTTTTCTTCCCGTCATTCTGGTACAGATTCATCTTAGCTTCATCTGTCCAAAGAATGCTTTTCCAGAACTGGTCTGGATTTTTTAGATATTTTTTTTTAGCAAAGTCTAATCTGGATTTTCTATTCTTCAGGCTTGTGAATGGTTTGCACCTGGGGGTGAACCCTCTGTATTTACTCTTGTGAAGTCTCCTCTTGATTGTAGACTTTGACAATGATACGCCCACCTCCTGAAGAGTGTCCTAAATCACGTGTCTGGATGTTGTTTTATGTTGCTGAGCTCACTAGTGCGTTCTTCTTTCCTCTGAATGGACCAATCTGCTGATTTGGCCACTCCTAATGTTGCTGCTAACTCTCTGATGGATTTGTTTTGTTTTTGAAGCCTTACAATGGTCTGTCATAATGGGCACAGCGAGCGTACAGACCCGGGAACTCAGCACAGGGGTGGTGGGAACCCCCTCATAAGGGGCACAGTGGGTGTACAGACCCCGGAACTCAGCACAGGGATGGTGGGAACCCCCTCATAATGGGCACAGCGGGTGTACAGACCCGGGAACTCAGCACAGGGATGGTGTGAACCCCCTCATAATGGGCACCACGGGTGTACAGACCCGGGAACTCAGCACAGGGACGCTCATAATAGGCACAGCGGGTATGCAGACCTGGGAACTCAGTACAGGGATGGTGGAAACCTCTCATAATGGGCACAGCGAGTGTACAGATCTGGGAACTCAGCACAGGGATGGTGGGAACCTCTCATAATGGGCACAGTGGGTGTATAGACAGGAATTAATCACAGGGGGATGGTGGGAACCCCTCATAACGGGCACAGCAGGTGTACAGACCCGGGAACTCAGCACAGGGATGGTGGGAACCTCTCATAATGGGCACAGTGGGCGCAGAGACCCGGGAACTTGGCAAAGGGATGGTGGGAACCCCTCATAATGGGCACAGTGGGTGTATAGACAGGAATTAATCACAGGGATGGTGGGAACCCCTCATAACGGGCACAGCAGGTGTACAGACCCGGGAACTCAGCACAGGGATGGTGGGAACCTCTCATAATGGGCACAGTGGGCGCAGAGACCCGGGAACTCGGCACAGGTATGGTGGGAACCCCTCATAATGGGCACAGTGGGTGTATAGACAGGAATTAATCACAGGGATGGTGGGGAACCCCTCATAACGGGCACAGCAGGTGTACAGACCCGGGAACTCAGCACAGGGATGGTGGGAACCCCTCATAACGGGCACAGCAGGTGTATAGACCCGGGAACTCAGCACAGGGACGCTCATAATAGGCACAGCGGGTATGCAGACCCAGGAACTCAGCACAGGGATGGTGGGAACCCCTCAAAGGGCACAGCGGGTGTACAGACCCAGGAACTTAGCACCGGGATGGTGGGAACCCCTCATAATGGGCACAGCGGGGGTACAGACCCAGGAACTCAGTAAAGGGATGGTGGGAACCCCTCATAATGGGCAAAAAGAACGTATACAGACCCGGGAACTCAGCACAGGAACGGGTGGGACCCCCTCATAATGGGCACAGAAGGCGTACAGACCCGGGAACTTGGCACAGGGACGGATGAGATTCTCATCTTCATCATACAGATGTTCATGGCTGAGCCAAGGGGTAGGCAGAGGAGATGGTCACCACAGGAGCTTCAGCAGGAGGGGGGTGCATCAAGAACAGGGACCTGCAACCTGTGCTGCTGAAACCATTACGGGGTGCATTTTTGCTTCGGTGGGTGTGGTGGCAGAACCTGGTCTTGATACTGCAGCCATTACACGGATACAACAAATCACAAGACTCAAGTCCCTGTTGTCAGTGGGCGTGCCTTTGCTGGTGGTGTTGCATAAGATTGGCTGCCTGTGTTAAACATTTTCCGCTCTTCAGGCAGGAAAATGACTTCATATGAGCATCGAGGTGTCTCTTATGCGAGAAAGATCTGCCGCACTGCGAACAGGAAAAGGGTTTCTCACCGGTGTGGCTCCTCTGGTGTCCCGTAAGCTGGGACTTCTTTAGAAAGGATTTCCCGCACTCTGAACATGAAAAGATAGTCTCGCCGGTGTGTAACCTCTGGTAACATCTGGATTTGAATGCTTTCCCACACTCCAAACAGGCGACGGGGCTCTCCGCCATGTGACTTTTCTGGTGAATAAGCAGCTGTCCCTTCTGGGTGAAACCTTTCCTGCACTCTGGGCAGGTAAAAGACTTCTCCCCGGTGTGGCATTTAAAATGGGTGCTGAGATTTCCTTTATAGGCAAAACATTTCCCGCACTCAGAACAGGAGAAGGGCTTCTCGCCGGTGTGGGCCCTCCTGTGTATAAGGAGCTGCGACTTGGTTAGGCATATGTAACCGCACTCTGAGCAGGAGAAAACCCGCTCGCCGCTGTGAACTCTCCGATGAACCCGCAGCTCGAAATTTGTTTTGAAGGACTGCGTGCACTCCAAGCACGACAGGGAATTCTCGTCTATGTGAAACTGCAGGTGCTGCTTGAGGCGAAATTTATGCGCAAAACCTTTCCCGCACTCCGGACAAAAAACGGGTGCTCACCCGTGTGGATCCGCTGGTGACCAGTAAGCGTTCCTTTCCGTGTGAAACCCTTCCCGCACACTGTACATGTGTATGGCTTTTCGCTTGAGTGAGTTCTCTGGTGCGCCTGGAGAGTGTCCTTCCGAGTGTAACACTTCCCGCATGCCGCACACGTGTACAGCGCTCCGCCCGCGTGGGTTCGCTGGTGCACAACAAGGGCGTCCTTCCGCTTAAAGCATTTCCCGCACTCCGCGCAAGTGTACGGCTTATCGTCCGTGTGGGTCTTCTGGTGTGTCAGGAGGACAATTTTCTCCTTAAAACACTTCCCGCACACCGAGCATAAAAAGGGCCGCGCGCCAGTGTGGTGACGCAGGTGCCTAAGGAGGTGCGTCTTCCTTCGAAAATTCTTGTTGCATTTAGAACAGGGAAATCTCTCGTGGTTTTGTGGAACGGTGCGGGGATTATCGGAAGGTCCTTCAGAACTAGATGGAGCTGAAGACCACGTTGACCTGTGAAGGTCCACCAATGTTGGGTAGAGATTTGGGGTAATGGTTTCCAATTGGGTAGGAGTTGAGAGACTAGTTGACCTGTCTGGATGGCCAAGTTTGCTATGCATATTTGACACGATGGGGTCTGCTCCTGGAGAGAATGCCGCAATGATGTCATCAGGAGAACATCTCCACAACGTCTCCTCAACCTCGTGTCCACCTGGTGGGAACAGAAAGATTCAGACTTTACCCTCATGGGTTATATACAATTTTTCTGATGTTTCTCAGACGCGTTGTGTCCCAGCAACACTTGCTTGCAATCCAGAGTACTAAGTGTGATTTCTGTCTGCTGCCTCGTTCCTCTGCTCTTAGCATACTGCCAGAAACTATGGGGCCCCATACAGCCAACCTGACAGCCCCCTGCTAGAAACTATGGGGCCCCATACAGCCAACCTGACAGGCCCCCCTTCCCCAAAAACACAGTTTACTATGCACTCTGAACATGAAAAGATTATGAATGAACACAGTGAGTGATAGGCACTGATCTCTCTTTGTGTTTATTCAGGAAAGGAAGAGGCTGGTAAATGTGACATATTTAGAAACCACAGGGCTCCATACAGCCAACCTGACAGCCCCCACCCAAAAATAAAACAACTGTTTACTATGCTTCAGTTATGAATGAACACAATGATCGGTACTGATCACTCATTGTGCTCATTCAGAAAAGGAAGGGGCTGATAAATGTGACATATTTAGAACCCACGGGACCCCATACAGCCAACCTGACAGGCCCCACCCAAAAAAGAAAAACAGTTTACTAGGCTTCAGTTATGAATGAACACAGTAAGTGATCGGTACTGATCACTCATTGTGCTTATTCAGAAAAGGAAGGGGCTGGTAAATGTGACATATTTAGAAACCTCGGAGCCCCATATAGCCAACCTGACAGCCCCCTGCTAGAAGCTATGGACAGCATGCTGCTAGAAACTTTGGGGCCCCATGCAGCCAACCTGAAAGGCCCCTGCTCCCCTAAAAACACAGTTTACTATGCACTCTGAACATGAAAAGATTATGAATGAACACTATGAGTGATAGGCACTGATCTCTCTTTGTGTTCATTCAGGAAAGGAAGAGGCTGGTAAATGTGACATATTTAACAACCACAGGGCCTCATATAGCCAACCTGACAGCCCCCACCCAAAAAAAAGAAAGGAAAAAAAACCCCCTGTTTACTATGCTTTAGTTATGAATGAACACAGTGAGTGATCAACACTGATTTGTGCTCATTCAGGAAAGGAAGGGGCTGGTAAATGTGACATATTCACCGCACCCTTCCCCCACACTCCATCCTGAAGGACCCTATTGTGTGCTTGCAGCTGCCAGTGGGAAGGAAAGGGGGTGGGGCCACACAAGTTGGACACTTGTGGTGCACAGAGAGGGTGATGGGAGTGGCGGAGGTGCAACTACTGGAACCGATCCCCTGTACGTCTCTCTCTGCAGCAGCTGAAAGCCAGAGGGAGGGAGAGGGGAAGAGGCCAGTTTTCAGCTGCTGTAGAGAACCATACAGGGGATTGGTTCCAGTAATTGCCCCTCCCCCCGCCATTCCGATCACCCTCCCTGCCCACATCCTATTCACGCAGCTGACAGAGCCCCCTTGCTGGCCCGAGCCCCATACAGGAGGACTGGTGGTAATAACCCTTACCATACTTATTGCTTATTACTTACCTGTGCTGATATCTCCAGAAGGTTCCTCTTTCTTAGCTTCCATCACCATCCCAACCTTCTCTGTAGACCTCTGATCACCAATCACATCCTGCTGTTCCTTTTTAACCTCAGCTTTTACATTGATTGTTGCCTTCCCCTACGCTCACAAAATGACATAAAATATCATCTTTAATCTGTCTAATAACAGAAAGTCACATAAACAAGTATAATCCTATACAGTTTAGAGTTTTAAGACCTAGGCAATCAGTCCCACCTACCTGAGAATGGTGGGGGATGGTGTGATCTTCCTGTGTGGAATCCCAGGAATACAGAGGACGGGGACATCTCTCTGGTGGGTTCCCATGACTGGATCCATCTACCTGATGATGGTGAGGAATGGTGTGATCTTCCTGTGTGGAATCCCGGGAATACAGAGGACGGGGACATCTCTCTGGTGGGTTCCCATTACTGGATCCATCTGTAGGAAACACACACACTGACTGAATCCATTGTTTCTATGTGTTTATCAGATGATGGGGGATCTAGGTGGACCCTCCGTACTGCTCTCTCCTTTACAATAAAGTCTCCTCTTACCCGGTGATGTGAGGGGCGGCTGATTGTCCATCATGACGTCCTTGTAGAGATCCTTGTGTCCTTCTAAATACTCCCACTCCTCCATGGAGAAATAGACAGTGACATCCTGACACCTTATAGGAACCTGACACACACAATGATACAGTCACCATCCAGACACATCCCTTGTCTGTTACTGGAGAATGTCCCAGAATTCACGGCACCGCTCACCTCTCCTGTAAGCAGATCAATGATCTTCTGGGTGACCACTAGAATCTTCTTGAAGTTGTTTGTCACAGGAGTCAGGGAATGAAGTAGAGGCACTGTGATGGGAGATGATCCAAGGAGTTGGCTGCTGGGTGTCAATCGCTCTCCAGATGCCTTCATCTGCTCCTCATACACCTGCGTAAAAAGACACTGATAGTTATTAGCTACAAAACTTCCAGAATCCTCCTCACCTCTCTGGTCAGGTCTGTGTTTTATTAATAGAGATATGAGTGATGTCATGTGACCTCCCAGAATCCTCCTCACCTCTCCGGTCAGCAGGTAGATGATCTCCAGGGTGAGGTTCAATATATACTCAGTTATTTGACTTTGGTCTTTGTCCAGTCTCATTGTGCTGGTCATGTGATCTATACAGACAATAGATGGACTAAAAAAAAACTGATAATTATCTGCACTGTACTTGGATGAATAATGTCCCACAGTGAGGTCCATTGTTATCATATCATGTTGTGATTTTTGCCTATTTTAGGATGTATCCGGTCTATAAACCAGAGGCTCTGGATGGACGGTTGGATAAATGGCTCTATACTTAGGACGTATCCGGTCTATAAACCAGAGGCTCTGGATGGACGGTTGGATAAATGGCTCTATATTTAGGATGTATCCGGTCTATAAACCAGAGGCTCTGGATGGACGGTTGGATAAATGGTTCTATATTTAGGACGTATCCGGTCTATAAACCAGAGGCTCCGGATGGACGGTTGGATAAATGGTTCTATATTTTAGGATGTATCCGGTCTATAAACCAGAGGCTCTTGATGGACGGTTGGATAAATGGTTCTATATTTAGGATGTATCCGGTCTATAAACCAGAGGCTCCGGATGGACGGTTGGATAAATGGTTCTATTTTTAGGATGTATCCGGTCTTTAAACCAGAGGCTCTGGAATAAAACTTGGAGAAATTGTTCTATATTTATGATCTCATCTGTAAATGTACATTTGTATAAATGGCTGTACATATTCATTAGAAATACATATAGAGAAAAAGAAATCATCTGCTGGAGATGAAAGCCCTCACGGTGACTATGGAGGAAGAGGACGGACATGATGGGGGGGGGGGGTTACTGGGTGTAAATCAATAAGACCTTATTACCTCCTCTGCTGCCAGTTCCAGCAATGTCTCCTCTCTACTTCCTCCCAACTCACCTCTCACCCGGAACTTTCCATCTCTACCTTACATCCCTTCCTGATTCTCTGTTACATAATTTCCTGCTTGTATGACATCACTTCCTGTCTGTGCATTTCAATGGGCAGAAGTGAGACTTCTGCTTTGTGTAGAGTAGTGAATCTACAGCCTTCAATGTTTCCCAGTTGTTGGACTTCTTCTTAATGGCCCACAAAGCTGTATTAAAGCCAAAATCAAACATTTATGGCAGCTTACCAATCCTTGGATGGCATGGATGTATAATATTTTTTTAGACTTCTTTTTATTTCATGGGCAGCACAGTGGCTACGTGGTTAGCACTTCTGGCTTGCAGTATTCGGGTCGTTGGTTCAAATCCCAACCATGGCACTACCTGCCTGGAGTTTGCATGTTCTCCCTGTGCCTGTGTGGGTTTCCTTCAGGTACTCCAGTTTCCTCCCACACTCCAAAGACATGCTGGTAGGTGAATTGGCTCCTGTCTAAATTGTCCTGTGTATGTATGAATGTGAGTTAGGGACCTTAGATTGTATGGCCTTGAGGGTTAGGGATTGTTGATGTTAATGTACAACATATATGTAAAGTGCTGCGTAAATTGACATTGCTATATAAGTACCTTAAATAAATAATAGATTTTCACCTAGTGATCTGGCCAGAACATCTTTTGCTTTTCAACAGTACAAGCTCTCCTGTTAATGTAGAAGCCTGAAGGGTTGAGACAAACCATTTACTGCTGATAAGGGTGCTTAAGCTCATCAGCCCTTTTTTTTATTATTTATGTAAAACCTTTATTCCAAAATTTTGCTGTAACTGATTATAAAGTGTTTGGTGGAGTTTGGATTCAATATGTTAGTGTTATTAAATCTGCTAGTACATCTAACACTCCGCCCCCCCCCAGACCTACAATGCTGCAGTCCAAAGGTGTCTCTGTTGCTCCTTCATCCAGAGTGGGGAGCGCTCTAATACAGGAGGTGTGTTACTGGGCCAGATCACCAGGTGAAAAAGAAAACTAATGCAGCCACCACATCTAATGATTGGTAAGCTGCAACATATATCATTTTTGCTTTTGGGTTTATTGCTGCCTTCATTTTCTATACTACACAACTATGACTATACTAAAAAAAGAAGAAGATACATTTAAAATTGTTTTAAAAAAACATTATTTTATTTAAAATGACAGATATGAAATAGTAAGACAATTATAGTTGGCAAAAATACGATGAAGAAAAAAAAACTTTCTCTAGTAGTGGTCAGTCACATTCTGATGGATTTATGGATTTGTTCTGGAATGTCGTAGATTCTCCAAGCCGCTTCTTTAGCAAGTGCCTTGGAGAGGCTACGAAATGTCTTTCATGTTACAAAACAGTTCCAGTTGAATGTGACTACTACAACTAGCTACACCATGACCATCACAAACTTGGATGTGGACCCAGCTCCTTGGCACAACTACCCTAGGCAGCGGCTGGTGTCCTGCCAGGGAACCCCCTATGGGAGTTTTGACCTAACTGCTGATCTCTCAAAAGATACTTTAAGCGGAGTTCCACTCACTCTGTAAAAAAATAAATGTCAGCAGCTACAAAAACTGTACCACGATCCCGCGTTGCCCCCACCACAGCCCGTTTCACCGGCCATCCTGGATTCCAGGAGGCCGGCATCTTCAGTGTGGGCACCCGGCTGTGACAGCTTCACAGCCCGGTGTACACTGCTTATGCGCGAGTAGCGCTGTGCTTCTGGGACCTGTCACGCGTCCCACAAGACTTCGGAGAGGGAGGGTAGGAGGACAACTTCCGATTCCGATCGCCTAGGCGATCGCAGCGGAAGTGGGAGCGGGTACCTGTCAAATTCGGGTACCCGTTCCCCCCCCCTGCTCTCCAAAGGTGCCAATCCTTAATGGGGAGCGGGGGAACCAATCTTTAAAGCGGAACTTTCCTTTTTAGGTGGAACTCCACTTTAAGGTGGCTCTTCGGAGGGTGATTTAGTGGGGACTGCGGGGGCTGAGATGATGCAGCTGCAACTCTGGGCATTGTGAGCTGAGGTTTCAGTTTCAGCTTTGCAAGCTGTAAAAGGTGCCACTGACAACGTCACCATATGACAAAACGTGTAGGGAGGAGTTACGGGATGTGTGACATCATCACGCTAGGGCGCCTGGGCCATGGCCATTTGTTGGTGATTTGTTTGGACTTCATTGAATTCAGTATATTTTATTCATATGCCAGTGCTGTTATGTTTGCCTTCTATGTGAGCAATGTGTTTGGAAACTGGACACTTTGGAATTGCTGATGTGGAGTGCGTGCCAGGAAGTGAAGTGAGCAGCCCTGCTGACTATGTGGGGATTATATCCCATGGAAGCTGTATAATCTTGGATGTATTCATAAGCGCTAGTTGACCACACTCTATGGGTTGAGGGTCAATATGCTCCGGTAAGAACCTCTGTATACTCCCGAGTGATGATGTGGACAGCTAACACTCACGTCTGTCTTTTTGGGTACATTTGAGATGTTCATTATCTCTCTTTGGACTTTATGTCGGGACTTTTTTGCACTTAAAGTGTTCAATTAATATTTTTTTTTAAGCGCTATGCTTTTTTTTTATGCAAGGGAAGCAGAGACTGCGGATGCTGTGAAGGCTGTGGGTGCAGCCGAGGAGGAACAGAGGCTATGGGTGCAGCAGAGGTGAGGTAAAGACTGCGGATGAAGCTGAAGAGCCGCAGAGGCTGTGAGTGCAGAGGATAGAAGATCTTGCAGAGAAAGACGTTTTATAGCTGCTCCAAGTCACTTACTAAAGAAGTGGCTCAAGCCATGGGTTCGAAGGTTGGTAGCGGAGACAGTAGCAGCTCAGTTCCGCCTGAGGACATTGTGATGGATGAAACGCGTTGTAGTATGTTTTAACCATCAGTGATGTCACATCTGGCACTAGGCTTCCAGCTTTCGAATGGAACACATGCGTCTCCCTAAAGATCAAGGTGCAGCAGTGGCACTTACCCTAGAAGGGAAAACGATAACACTTGTGCCGGTTTATTTAAGGCACTTTTCAATGTGAGTGCACCATTTTTTTTTTTACATAAATACTGATGGTGTGAAGAACAAAAGGGCAAAGCAGAATTAAGTGTTGTTGTAGACATCCCCAGTAAAGGGTGGTCCAAGAATCCGATTCAGCTGCAGCTTTAGTGGCTAATTGTCAAGTGGCGATCTTGGACCTGAGAATGGAGCCAGACACTGCCTATTAACCAAGGACTCCTGAGGATGTTGTGATGGACGAAACGCATTGGAGCGTGGTTCAATCATTGGTGATGACACTTCGGAGCTTCCAGCTTTGTACTGGAATACACGCCGTCTCCCTGAAGATTGAAGTGGAGCAGTGGCACACCCTTAGGACGGGAAATCAATACTAGTGCCGGTTTATGTAAGGCACTTTTAAATGTGAGTGCACCATGTTTGTTTTTTAAAGCAGAACCCCGGGCAAAAAAACTTCTTTACATATCCTTGTTGCTGATTTCCTACCTTCACTGAATATGTCATCCATCTTCTGCTTCACTCAGTAGTTACTCATTCATTTTCATATCAAAGCTTTCATTCTCTTTGGTTTCCTGTTTGTAAGACCGGTGGCTGCTATGCCTCCTATTCCTCCAGCCACC